CAGCTTCAAACAATACCTTTATTCAAACTTGTGCTTGTGCCCCTGGAAAAATACCTGCAGGTTCTTTCTTCAAAGTATAAAACTCATTTGTGCATAAAATAGCTAAATTTCACAAACATTATTTGTGAAATTATCTCCAAAATAATTTTATTGTTGTGAGTATTATTTTCAAAATGTTATTTCAGATGTTTTAACGGTTCCCCCATGAAGTCAGATGTGAAATGTGTGATATCTGGTAAATTGAAGCTACAGCCAACTTTTCTCTTTTTAGCTGAAGTAAGTGAAGTACCAACATCTTGGAAATAGAAGGACTTGTTACAAAAAAGTTTCCTGCAACCCACAAGCCTAAACATTGTAGGTAAAATCTGCATAGAATTTACTCCAGTGCATTGGTCACATGCTTTAGGGCAAAAGAAGCTTAAAGGTTGTCATTTGGTAGAGCTCTGGACAAGAAATTAATGGGATTTTAGAGCAGCAAATCAGGACAGTTACATCTGCAAAGAGATTATGAAAGCTCACCTGGTGTATAGAAAATCTTAGGTGTCCAAAGTGCTGCTAGGAATTGGGGCAAACTTGTCACAAATGCTCTTTCACTACACATCACGGCTTCCAAACTGTACTGTCCACCAGGGATAAAAGCTATCCAAATTGGAATGGAGGAGTAATTTGATAGTTGCTCTGAAATTTTAAAGAAAACTCTGAATAAATACTTGGCATCAAATCTGCTCCAGAAGTACAGCCTTTTTTCCCCCTCTATTTGTGTATTCTCCTAATCCTAGTAAATTTTCTTCTTTTCCCAGACAAATTGGCTGCTCCTTTCTGGCCAGTACAAATTCCTCTGAGGTTGGATCAATACATTATGTCACCCAATCTCATAAGATTCTGTTTCCTGACTTATTTGTCACTTCAAAGTACAAAACTGAGATTTTTTTCCCTAAATTGTTGTAAGAGCTATTGATTTTTTGAGGTGGATTCAGTGGTTTGCTTGAAGACAGATCTCTCTCTCAGATCACTATTTAATATTTTAATATTATGGTAATAATTATTTCTGTTAGAATTTGCCTTAGCTTAAGCTAAAGTCTCAGCTGAGAAAATCCAGATCACCTTTTGCCTTGCTCCTAAACCTCTTCCCTATAAACAAACCATTCAGTAGGCAAACTCTGCAATAAGAGCTGGGAAACACAATGCCAGGAGGGTTTGGGAGCATCTGGAAGACTCTACACCACTTATCTGACACTTTTCAGAAATGCTAAATACACCAAAAGAACAGGTGGTGCCAAACAAGAGAGTATTAATGAAAAGGATTTGACAGCATTTGTACCTCACCTGTGCCCTTAATCAATTCAAAAATTAACAGTGTGCAGTACAAATATTTAAATAGTGTGAATTGGTAGGATGTGTGTGCTGAGCTGGAGAGGTAACACTGAAAACCAGCACCTGCTTTGAACCAAAACATCATGATGAATTTTGTGCCTGGGTCCTAAACAGGCCAGTTATTCTACTGGAAATGTCTTCTACAATACCAGGAAAGTGAATTGAAAGGGTAGGTTATTCTGGAGAACAAAGAGATGGGCACTGATGCAACTATAAACACTGTTCACCACAAAAATAACAGACAAAATGATGACAATAAATCCTCAATTTATGATGTGGGCACGGAGGGGTTCCCATCATAACTGAAGAAAAGCCCACCTTGAGGGACAAGTTTGGGGATGCCAAGCAGTATACATAAAAATTGTATATGTATGTACAAAAATTGGTTGTCTTGATCTTCCAGGTAGACTAACTAGTCCAGGCAGGCTGGGAAATCACAGCTAGGGGAAAAAAAATCCTCTTGAAAATCCTCATAGATTGTATTTAATTGTATTTAATGGTCAAAAAAACACCTGTGAAATTAGACTGTGTTGAATTTCATTGGACAGAAGGAAAAGTGTTTATACAATCTTCATTTCATTATAAAAGAAAAAAAATTAAACTCTGACAGGAGCAAATTACATCAACATAAATATCCTATGATTTTCATACAGATCCACTTAAATGCTCCACTTCTGATGGTTCTGATTCTATGGATAATAATTCCTTTTTTTCATGTTAAACACTCACCAGCTGATAAAAATGACAGCAGGTTCTGCAGTATAGATATCTCACTCTCCACAGTAAACTTCACTAAATCTCCTCCTTCCATCCCATTTCATCCCCTCAGATGTAAATTAGGAAAGCACTCCCATCTGTGCCAGGATATTTACCCAAACCTAAACATTGCTTGTCTGACCACAGACATCAGACTTTGCATTCCTTAAGCCTGGATACTGTAAAAATATCCTAATCACAGAGCTGAGAAGCAGATAAAATGGCACTGAGGGTCAGAAAGGACTGAATTCACTCATGAGAGGGTAAGGAGGCATGGGCAGAAAAAGTTCTGCAGCAGAACAAAAAGCTGAAATCAAACTGTGCAGGTTAAGAACTACAGCAAAAAGCTGCAGAATCTGCTTCCTTTAAAAAAGGAGCATTTTCCCAGCTGGGACAGCAACACTGGTGATCTTCACAAAGTGCTCTGAGGTCAGTAGGGAAGCAGTACTGACAATTAATTCCAGTTATTATTGCAGCATGACAGCTGGCATTTCTAGTATTCCAATATCAGATGCATTTTTCAGACTCTGACCATGCAATAACATGCACAATAATTACTGAGCTACATCTCAGGGATCTGTGGAGTTCCTAAATATAGGTCTTTATTTGCTATTCTCAGCATGTAAGATACCCTCCCTAGGACATTCTTGAGCTCCCTTATCAAAACCCATCTTTTCATACAGCCAGAAACTTCACCTCTTCTTTCTCATGCTGCAGTATCAATTATTATACTTGTTATGACTTTATTTCCATCCTCAATCTCTGCTATATGCATGCCAATTTATTAAGGATCAAGAGGTTCTCAAGGCATTTTAGACTGAACCAGAGACTGATGTGCAGAATTTGTATGAAATCCAGTCTCTAAAGACCAAGTTATGCAAAGGTTTCTGGGCAGCTAAATCCCAAAGAATTGAGAATTGGTTCGAGATCCTAAAGAATTTTGTCCTTGCAGCCAAAAGCAGCTGTATCTACCACAACAAAATTCATTTTGGTATTAAATTTGCCTTGATGTAACCTCAAACTGCTAGGTTCAGCAAATAAGAATCAAAGACCTTCCTGAAACTGGGAGCTGTTCACTTTTATGGAGTCTCTGCTCACAAGGTGTTTGCCAGTAAAGTTGTTACCCTTAAAGAAAAAAGGTGAGTGAGAAAAAAGGCAGGAAATAACAGATAATCACTCCATTGCCTATTCCAGGACTCAGGATATTTTATACCAATCAGCTCAGGGTATTTTCAGTACTAAAAGCAAAAAGAAACTAATTTTGATGTCCAAATTTGACACTTTAATAATTGTACAAAGGCATACCAAAAAACCACTACAAGTACTTGACTAACATGTACCAATTAGGAAATTTTGCATATACACAAAGCCTCACACAGCAAGCTACCAGAAGAACTGAAAAACTGACAGGATGAAATGTGTGACTTCCACATGTTGCAGGAGGCAAAGCTATTTTGATTAATTCTTCCAATTTTATGAACAAAGAATTCAACATTTCAACATCAGTTGAGACTACAGGTCAAAAGAAAATGATACCACTGCATTTCCTCTGAAAATGTCCTTCAAACACATTTTGCAGAAAGGCAAACCTCACAATATTTCACATGGAATTTATGATATTCTATTCCTTACCACTCATTTGCCATTCTTTTTTAAAGGAAAGGCTGAAGAAAGCAAAAGTCTGAAATAGAAATCAGTAGGGAAAGACAAAATGAAAAAACCCTTTATCTTTAGGCATTTTTTTCTTGAAAAAAGAAACGGAAAAAGAGATTTCCTCTCTCCCATCTCACTCTTCAAAATCGTTTTTGAAAGGTGTTTAGGAGTGACATGAAATGTTTGTTTTGATGTGTTTCAATATTTCTGATGGGAAAAAACCACAATCTTTTTCTCTGATCGACACTCTGGGCTGCCATTTGAATGGTTTTCCCATCAGCTACAGTTACCTGTGATTACATTATAACCTTTAATTCCTCGTGTGTTTTCAGTATAAACAAGTATAAACAGTATACAGTACAGAATAAACAAGTTCTTTATCTCCCTGAACTTCTGAGGTGCCACTTTCAGGATGAATGTCACCCACACAGGTTGCAGTAAGAGGAACTCTTCTTCCTCACTGGGTCTGTGAGCACCTTGAAGCTTCAGACCATGTGTTTCATCATGGCTTTCAGCTCATCACGTTCAATTCATGATCAAAAAATAAAACATTTTTAGTAGCACCAGGAATTAATAATGAAAGGGGCTGATGGACAGCTCTGGTGATCTGTGTGCTTTGCCATTCTCAGGAGAGAAGGTCTGGAAGAGCTTGTCTAATATCAGGAAATGGCTGTAACTAATAGCTTGGCTGTGTCTCAGCATATGGACATCCTTACTGCACAGCAAACCTGCCTCCACACCATTTAATTTAATTTAATCTATATCCGAAACTAGCATGAGATAAAATGTAAGCCAAGCACCTATGTGAAATTTAATACAAAATAATGATTCTGAACTGTGATCATACCTTGACTTATTTTTAAAATAATTTCCTCCAAGGACAAGTCCTAACATGAGATCCATCCCTATATTTTCCAGCTGAGACTAAGCCAAGCCAGCTGCAGACCCAAAAAAAAAGGGAATTGTGCCTCAAAAGCCCTTTAGGCTCCACTGCTAAAAATGCCAGTGCTTGACCTGATTCTGCTGCCCCTCTCTCCCCAGATCCTGATTGTCAGAGTTGAGATGGAGACGATACAAAGCGACACTCCATCTTCAGAAGGCTTCAAACTGTTTTTATTACATCATGCATGCTTTTTATATATTCTTACAAAACTCAGAAGTTTACACTTTACTCACTGGTCAGGAAAGACAAACAAAGTGCTCATTGGAATAGGCTTTCTCTTATTTATCCTTCTTTCTTTCTTGGTTTCTATGTCAATGACCTGGTAGGAAATTCTTCCAGGGGTAAACATGGATCCTCTTATCAAACTTCCCCCTGGCTCACACGAGTCCCTGTAAAACCTCTTCCACACCTGACGAGGTGGGAAACAGGCAAAGCCCTGGCTGTGCTTCCTGGCACGCATCAGCCTGCAGATCTGAGCCCATAAAAATATCTTTTTGGCACGAATCACTCCATGGGAACCACAGTTTTGCCTGTGCAGTTTTTGGGGTGGGCACGGCAAGGTTATGGTCAAGGAGATGCTTTGTAGTGCAGCCTGTGCAAGCTGCTAAATCTTAATCTGAAGTAATCCTAATCTGAAACTCAGGGCAGCAGTCTGGGTTTTTTGTAAAACAAACAAGTGGGACCACAGCATTTTTCTTGAGTACAACTCTATGGATGTGTGGGAAAAGGTGTTGTTTTAAAAATCAAGTGTTCCGGATAACTCACCACTCTTGGCAATATTCATTGTGACTACTTATGCTTAAGAAATAGTTTTGATGCAATGCCTCATTATCCATGTACCAGAACATCTCTTTTCCTGGCAGCATTTTAGAAAAAAAAAGGAATAAAACCCAAAAAGGCAAACAAACCAAACCCAACTCCTAACAAAGACCTCTGATAACTTCAGTGACACAGCATGTTCTCATAAATAATTCTCTCTTCATACAACAGCCCAAAAGACTATGCACAAAGACCTGGCATTTCTATTTTCTCCTTTTTAAGTCACACTGACCACAAGGCACTGACGTGTCCAGCTGTAATTAAAGGAAATGCTGTGGTCCAATAGCCATCACACCTCATAGGACTACAGGAAACTCAGCTGTTCTCTGCTTCACAACATGAGATCAACGAGCAGCACAGAAAAAGTTCATCCAAGAACTTGTCCTTGATGTGTATTTGATGCTCTTTACTGGGTACTGTTTTTTCATGGCCTACTGGAACTTTTTTGGTTTTTAACAAATCCAATTTTCACAATAGAAATTACATTTTAACTTCTAAATGCACATAAACACACTTGGTTATTATATATATATAAATTTTAAAAATAAAAACATCTTGATATAAAAATATAATGAAGGAAGTTTTCCTCAAAGTGCAGTGAGGTGGTTCTTGCAAATTAAAAGAAGTATCTTGCCAGCATTAAAGAAAACATTTTGTTCTCATGCTACCTTAAAATGAACCCTATCTAGTGAAAATCCAGGTCATAGCAGCTCATGAACCAAACTCACTCTTCCAAATATGATTTAAACCAAGTAACCTTCATTCCTTATTCACAATAGCTCATTAGTCTTCACTGTGTCATATTTCAAAGTTTTGCAACCACAGTTATAATAATAACAACAGTAAAAACCAACTAAACTATGATTAATTAAGAAAACAGTGACCCAGGAGACAACCAAAACCATTATAGAGAGGTATATCATGAAAACAAAGCTTAATAAGGGCATTCAAAGCATTAATTGAGCTTATTTCTTTTTCAGAAACCATAATTATTTTAATTCTTTCACTGTACTACAAAGTATGAATCATGGCTGAGATCTTCTCATCTCCAAACTTTTTACCCCAGTGCCTGGTCCAGGCAGTGGTAACTTGAAGGCAATGGTAATATCTTAGAAGGAACACAACACACTTTATCTTCCCAGCTTGGAAAAGAGTTTTTATCATTCAAGTCCATCTTTTCCTTCAATCCACCCACTTAAAGTGCTGCTGCAGCTAAATATGTGATTTTTGTTTCTGAGTTCTGGTATTCAAACTCAGCTGGGAGAAAGGTGTGCTTTCTGTACCCTTAACTCCTAGCAGAATTTAGGAGTGTCAGGTTTTATCTTCTCTGTTGAGCTTGGATGCTGTGTTCAGATTCTTGGTGTCAATCACTAATTATTCAGTCCAAAGGACACACCTTTCTTCTCTAGTATTTTTCCTTTCTCTTCTTCCATTCTCCATAAACAATCATAATTAAAAACTCAGGGAAGCTATCCACTCAGGTATTTTTCACTGGCTTCACAAAGATGAGAGCCAATGCAAATTTTCCTCCTTTGTCCATTGAGCATCTCAGCTTTCTTTCATTTTTTGATCAGCAGCAAAATAGTTAAGGTTGGCATTTAAAACAGATATTTGCATTTATTCCAGATGACATGTTTTCTTCATTTCCATGCCAACTGACTCTCACCACCTTCATTTGCATGCAGATGTGAACACTTCTGTGAGTTTTGTCAAAGTTTTTCTTCTGGCAGAATTGCTACAGACTTTCAGCTAGGGAGGTGGGGAAAAAAAAGACAAAAGAAGAATACAGAAGACAAAACAGCAGTTCATGTAAGAAATCACATCTCAGTAATCTCAAATATTTTTCATTTTCAAAGGAAAATGTCAGATATCACTTATATCTGTTTCACTTCCTTTTCCCCCTCTAAATAAACTTGTAGACAATGGATGGCTGTGGCATGGCCTGCCATATCCATCATCCTTAGGACTGGGTCAGGAACAGACCTGGAGACCATATCCTGAGTTCCTGCCTTTCCAGTTCTGGGAAAATTCCCACCACAAATTAGATTCTGCATCCTCAGCTCCCGTTGCCCTCATCTGTTTCCAGCACAAAAAGTTCTGTTTGCTTGGCAGTCTATTTCCTCTTTATCCAGAGCCATAATCTTCAGGTATATGGAATGGCAGCAATTTCCACAGTGACAGCATGCCATGGCAAAAACATGGGCTTATAAATTTCCCTGAAGAAACAAACAGAAGAAAAGAACCTGGTCAGGGGAAGGAGGAGATGCCAGTTTTGGAAACATCCCATGTTTTGCTGTTGATTTTACTTATTTCAAGATCACAAACAGTCCCAGCCCTGCTGGGTTTCCTCAGGTGTTGCCCAAATCACAACAGAACACAAAGAAAGGTTTTGCCCAGGGAACTGTCAGGCAAAATGTAGAAGAATTAATGTCAATCCTGCCTTCGGTGAATATATTCACTGTTTTAAACTCTCTGCTGTGTTTCTGCAGCATTACCATACCCTCAAAGTTCACCTTCCTGTGTCTGAAGTTACAGAGTCCCCCAGAGCTTTAAAATCAGGTTTTTTCAAAAACTTCTAGCAAAAGAAAAAAGAAATCTGAAAAAGCAACAGCAGGTGTCTTACTCATGATGTACGACTTGTTCCTTTGTTGAGACAAAAAGTATCTTAGATTCTCCTCACCTACCTGTTGCTAACACATTAGAGCCCTCAGGTTTGACATTCATCTTGGACAGGTAAGCAATCTAAAAAACAGAAAAAACAAACTCAAAACCAGCCAAATAAAAAAGCGCAACAAGAACAGCAAAAACCCATGAAAAATTCCCAAAAAACAGTAAGAATATCAAAGAAGAAAATCTTCCTGTTGTAAAATTCTGTTTCAAGGCAGAAAGGAAGGGTCAGAGGGCTGGAGTACCAGTCCTGTGAGGATGGAGAGAGCTGGGGGAAGGGAAGGGAAGGGAAGGGAAGGGAAGGGAAGGGAAGGAGAAGAGAAGAGAAGAGAAGAGAAGAGAAGAGAAGAGAAGAGAAGAGAAGAGACCTTGGAGCACGTTTTAGTACCTAAAGGAGGTCTGCAAGAGAGATGGAGAGGGACTTTTCCAAAGGGAATGTAGGGCTAGAATATGGAAAAATGGCTTTAAACTGAAGAGGCAACAGTTTAGATCAGATATTAGGAGGAAAATCTTCCCTGTGAGGGTGGTGATGCCCTGGCACAGGGTGCCCAGAGAAGCTGTGGATGCCCCATCCCTGGAAATGTCCAAGGCCAGGCTGGATGGAGTCCTGAGCAACCTGGGACAGTGAAAAGTGTCCTTTCACTATCCAGATAGCAAAATTTTACACTTTCTGTACTAACAAACACTAACCCCACACAAACCACTACATTTAACCTGAAGCTGTAGAAAAAGCTTTCAAAAGTAAATAATGGAAGTAAAACTATAAGTACGTAGCTTGAATAAAAGTCCCAACACTAGCAAAAAAACCCTAAAAATCTCAACATTTAGTTGTTATGCTCCCCATGGCAGGGGCGTGCAACTGGGTGATCTTTAAGATATCTTTCAACCCAAACCATTCTATGGCTCCTCACCCAGGCATTTCTTTCTGTGACACTCTGACAGCAGACTGACGACTAATTAAGGTTGTAGCCTTTAGGCAGCTCCTCTGAGGTTTCATCAATCCCTTCCCAAGAAATTACAGGGATCTTGCGTATTCCAGTCTGGTGAATCTTTCTGACTTCTTTCTGCTTCCAGCAGTTTGTGCTTTTCAACCACAGATAGAGGGGAAAAAAAACCCAAAAAAAAAAAACCAAAAAAAACAAAACAAACAAACAAAAAAAAAAACAAACAAACAAAAAAAAAAAAAAAAAAAAAAAAACAACAACAACAAAAACCCACTAAAACAACAACAAAAAAAGAAAACAACAAAAAACCAAAACCAAACAAACCCCACAAAAAAACAAACAAACAAAAATCATCCAAAAGTAGAGGAGTGGAATCATTTGATATACAGCTTCTCATAAGAGATGGATCTAATAATTTCTATTATAAATATAAATTATATTATAACAATATTATATTAATAATATTATGAATATAAATTATAGATCTGGATCTATAATTTGTATCCAATTTTTGAAAAATGCTTTACCCAAAGTTACAGAGCAACTGCCATAACCAGCAGCGCGTATGACAGAACCATCAGGCAAATCTTTTACCTTTGCCTGATAAAACGAGGATAAACACCATTTAAACTTAGAAATTCAAAGCGACTCAGCCTCGTTCCTTTTTTAACTTCAGCAAGCTGGAATATTCCTCTGAGCTTCCCGGCTTTGCAGGAGAGCTGCTGCTCTTCTTGGCACGCACAAGAACAGGCTGCTGCTATAGGGCATCCTGTCCAGTTTGGGTCTGCTACCAACCAGCCGCGGATTTTAGCAGGCAGAGGCAGGTTGGTACGCAAAGAGAGCATCCTCACCTGGGGAAGGGTGGGATGAAGCAGCTGGAGCCGGGGCAGGGAGCGGAGCGCTCGGGAGCGGCGCGTCCCGCCTGCCCTCTGGTGGGACCGCCCGGAACGCGGCACCCGGAGCCGCCCGGCAGCCGGACAGAGGGGCAAACCTGCTGAAAAACACGAGCAAAACACGAGGAATTGCTCGGGGTTTGTGTAAAGGTGGGTAAAAACAGCTCTGGGAAAGGGTTAGGGAGCTCGCAGGGAGCGATGCTGAAGAACTCCGCTAAAATTAAATGCAGAACGTGGTTTGGTAGCGGTCTCAGCAGGTGGAAGCCTCTGACTTCCCAACACTACCATGCAAACTTCTATTGCAATGTGTTATAAGGTAAATCAGCTTGCAAACAGCCAGGATCTTGTATGTGCACCCACCAAGCACATTTGGGTGTCGCCAGGAAAAATTGAGTTTTCTTCCCCCAGCAGCAGGGATAAGGACAGATGTGCTGCAAGGATGCAGTGTCCCTGCAGTGACATGCCTCAGCAGAAAACCTAACCCTGGGCAGGCTAAATCCCAGAGACCGTGCCTGCAAATTTCCCTTGGAATCAAAAGATGCATTCCAGCCATTCAACACTGAGGACCTGCAGGGGAAAATGAGCTTTCCAAAATAAGAAATGAGGACATGGTGACTACGAGCTATGACTGCCAGTCACAGAGCCTGAAGCTCAATGGACAGGATCAGAATGCTGCTATCTTAATCAATTATTGTTTCTCCAAAACTCAGTGTCTTAACTCACACGTGATCCAAGGCCACCCTCTTTGTGTCCATGGGAGCACTTGTTCCAACACAGAATTGCTTGATTTCACCAAAGCACATCAGATGAATTAGAGCAGAAAAGCCCTTCTGAACAAGCTGGAGGCTCAGCAAGAGTATATGGTTTGCAAATACTGTGCTGGCTTTCTGCTGTTGCTTTAGAGAACATGATGCTTTCACTTGATTTAATTATTTCCTCACAAAATCACTTGCACTGAGCCCAACAAGAAGGGGAACAGGGTCTGCATGGCCAGCAAACCTCAAGCACCTCCCATCACAAACAATAGTGCTGCAAAGGACACCCTGGGAAAAAAAAAAAAAATAATTACTCAATTTTTCAGGGCATCAGGGAAGCAATTTGATCCTGGCTTGCTCACAAAAGGTAGATCTGGGTTATGAGACTACCCATGTGCATGTAATTGTGTGAACAGGTTGGGAATGACAGTTCCATCTCTTGGAACCTCTCACACCCTAACACCTCTCAATTAAAAGCTGCCCAGCACCAAACTGTCACATGATATTTGGGGGTAATCTTCCTGTGCACTTTCTGCTGTGAAGCTGTGAGAAAGGGGGGAAAAATAGAAATATCCTTCTGCAGCAGCATTCCAGGGGTGTTGAGGATGCTGAAGAGCCACTGCAGGGCTGATTTTCCACCAGGTTATCTCAGATACCTTCCCAGCTATCAACTCACCCTTTGCACATTTTTAGTGATGTGCAGCCAACAGTGCATGCCTATATTACACAGAACATTTCAACCCTCCCAAGCCTGTCTTGCTCATTAATCAAATACACAAAAGCCACAGGATGGTTCCCAGCACCAAAGCAGCAGCAATATCTGCCCTGGAAGCTGTAGGCTGTTCCCCCTTTATGCCCTGGTCATCATGTTTTCACTTTTCTCTTTGGAATCACATTAAAATAGATCTGTTCAAACCTTCTTGTACAAACCTTCATATAATTTTTCTGGCATCACAGCTGTGGGAACAAGAGTCCTTCCACAACTCTGCCTTTAAATTCACCTAGTGCTTATTAGAAATCCCTTCTTGTGAGATATAAATAACATCTTGCCCCAGCAAAATGGTGTTTGACAAGGGAAAATTATGTAATTAGGATTAGGTCTGTGTGTGGCTTGGTCCAAGAGTGGCCTCAGGAGAATTAACTTTGATTTTCTGTTTGGCACATCCCTGGAGGGGCATGACTGCAATGAGCAGGGCCTGCCCAGGGCTTCTGGCAGCCTGGGGAAAGGGGATGGAAGGGGTTAGGACTTGCAGTGGGGCTGCCTTCTGCCACCACTGCAATGTGCCTCTGGCTGGACAAACGCTAGGGAAAGGTTTTTTAGGAGCAGGCTGGCTCCAGGGAGGTGGAGCTGGCTGTCAGGAAGCACGAGGCAGCACTGCACAGAACAGCCCTGACATCCTGCACTGCTCATTCAGCAGCAAGTGACATCTGCTCCTGTCATTGTGGGGCTAATTCACAGATGCTGTGTGTTCTCTAATTGTAAAATTAGCTTTGATAAGTGAGAGCCCCCGTGTGTGCGCACCATTGGGTGCAAAGGAGAGGTTTTTCTAATCCCTCCACAAATGAGTGATATTGTAGAAATTAAGTGAGGTTATTAGTGCCTGCATGAGCATGGACTGTGTGCTCAGACAACAGTAAATCCTGGATGTGCTCAGCTGCCAATCCCATCTCCTTATGGCCCCGTTTTACAGGAATTACATTTGGTTAGTGCATCCCTTCTGTCTCCTCCATGCTCCAGTTGCATGATGCTGGGACAGATGTTGAAGAAGCTGGGAGGGTGTCTATTGTGTTTATCTGGATTTTATTTAGATCAACTCTCAAATCGTGGGGGAATGTGACATTAAGCATCTTATTTATTAATTTTTGTGAACATTTAATGGCTTATGGTCATAGAGGTGGCAGCCACTGCAAAAATCAGAGTTCCACTATTGTTATCCCTCATTTACCCAGTTCTCAATATACCAGTGAAAGTCTTATAATATTTTTTTTTCCTTAGAATCACAGTTCCTGAAAACAAGTAATTACTTAATGATGTTGCATTTGCTTAGTGCAAGGTTAGGTTTCAAGCCTTTGTACTTGCAGACAGGGGATTGAAAAATGAGACTTGAGGGAATTTTAAAGGCTGCATAAAAATACCCTCAAAATTCAAATTAAAAGAGGAAAAAACATTTATTATTATTGTGGTTTTGGTTTTTTAAACCTTAAAGCTGAGCACAAAAGCACCTCTGCAAAAAGAAATAAAGTGCTAAAAACTAGAGATGATAACAGGAGGCTCACGAATAAGATTTTCATTCTACATAACATCAAGTTATTAATAGTTATAAATTATGGACTGGATAGAAATGCTTTCCAAAGGAAACCATGTTTCTCACAGCTCCATTTTGCACACAAAGTCCCCCAAGTAGGATATGACTATGATATGGCAGTAGGATATAACCAGTTGCCTCAGAAGTCTAGCAAAATTAATAAATTTTTTTTTTAAAAATTAACATCCCCACATTCCCATATCATTAAAAATATGTGCATAGTCTTTATCCTCAGGCTACTTAATGCTAACTATTACTATTACATTAAATTAATTTGTTTACAAGACCGTTTGTGGAAGGCTATAATGAAAAAAACCCAGTACCTATGAAACAGCTGTTAATTTCTTCAGAAAGGAGCTGACAGTTTGGGAATCTCTACACAGTCCTGGTTTAACTCTAATAACTTCTTTTTTTTTTTTAATCTAATAGAAATACTTTAGTATTTTTACACACACATAATTAATTCATTTAAAACATAAATGTCATGAACCACTGGAAGAAATTCCAATATAGCATTCAAATAACCACAATTAAACCTTTTCTAACTAAAGGTAATTGCTTTGCAACAACTGAAATGAAATCCTTTTAAGTTATTTGCATTTACAACCCTCCCAGGTTGTAACTGCAAACTTGGTGCCCTTGCACTTCCCCCACAGGAACTGTGCTGTTATCCATCATTTTCTGTGGGATATTTTTTGTCTCTGAAGGCATCACAGCTACCAGAGCTCCCAGTTTGCTATCCTGCCATCTCCAGCCAGAGATACTGATGGATGAAGCAGGCTGATAAATGGAGCCTGGAGCAACAAATACAAGCAGTCATAAAAAGCAAGTCTTAAGCAGTGCCCTGAAACAATCAACAGCTTTGAGCTGTTTAACCAGCTGACCTAAAATAAACCATGGATTTCAGGATGTAAAAGAGCAGGCAGCAGATTCCTCCTTATGTATATTTGATCAGCCAGCTGTTGTGGCTGAGCTTTCTTACAATGGTCATGTTTTCTTCTAAAATAAAGCACTTCAGCCTTCAGCTGCAGCAGAGGCAGAACAGCAAGAGCAGGTGGAAAGGAAAGGAAAGGAAAGGAAAGGAAAGGAAAGGAAAGGAAAGGAAAGGAAAGGAAAGGAAAGGAAAGGAAAGGAAAGGAAAGGAAAGGAAAGGAAAGGAAAGGAAAGGAAAGGAAAGGAAAGGAAAGGAAAGGAAAGGAAAGGAAAGGAAAGGAAAGGAAAGGAAAGGAAAGGAAAGGAAAGGAAAGGAAAGGAAAGGAAAGGCACTTAAATAGAGCAATTCTTATGGTTCTCAAGGATAATTCAGGTGCACACTGTGACACCACCTCATAGTCCTTTTAATGAAAGCCTTTTACTTGAAAAGCTACATTCGGCATCCTAAAATGTTACTTATGAAAATGTAAATGGCCTTCCAAAAAAAGAGAGTCCATTGTTTGAAAAAAACCCAAATAACATAAAATATCCCTCCTGGGAGTTCAAAATTTCTTCCTTGTGCCTGTCGTTCTAGTAAAACAGAGATCTGTTTAATTAATAACTAAAACAATTGGCAGCCTCTTTGCTTTCTCTAATTTACCAGCAATACCAAAACCAATGTGAGAATTTCAACCAGCCCATTTAGGAAGAAGGAAGATGAGAATATGCGAAATATTCATCTAAAATCTGCAGCGGCACCTCAGTTCTATATTTTTCAAAACTCAGCACACTGCACACAGGGAGGTCTGTAACAGTTTGAAGTATGGCACATCCATCTAAAAGAGCCTGGCAATAATTTATTTATGCACTGAGAAAACCATTGGCTATGTAGATGCTGTCAGAAATGGAGACTGAACATCAGAATAGATGTTATTTTCCAGAAAACAACCATCATTCTAGCAGGCAAAAAACAAAGCTTCAAAGGTAATGCTGTTTCTAAATCAGGCCCCAAGAACTGCAAGATGACACTGAAAAATGTGGCTCTTGTTGAAATGGGAATTATCCCTGGCAGCCCAGGCTTTCTCTGGGATGTTTGGTAGGGCAACACAATTTCGCTCCCTGGAATGAGGACAGTGCATCTCAGAAACTTTATAAATTTCAGTTTCCTGACCTGATTGTTGGCGTGTTAATTTTGAGAGTTAATCCAAACTGGTCCTTCAGTTTGGCAGATTTAGAGAGCCAGTCCTGAGGATCACTTTGTCAGGATCTCACAGTTTAAGCCACTCTCCAGGGCTGGTGAGGTGTCTGGGGAAAAAAAAAAAAATAAAAATTACTGTGCCATGTAGGCCTGGTTTTTAACTCCTCTTCCAAGAGCTGCCTTCTTGTCTCTTCTTTCCTTTCCCTCCCTCCCAAAACACTGAGATTCCCCCTCCCCAGTGGCATTCCTCCATGGAGCCTGGCAGGACTGGTCCCGTGCGGAATGTCGGCTCTGCTCTCTCTGTTGGGAGCAGTGGCAGCACAGGGAGGGGATCTGGGGGGGTTCTGTCCTTCAGCAATGTCAGAATCACAGCTTCGGGGTCAAATCAGCCAGGCTTTGCCACTCACCCAGGTCTTGGGCAGGAAGGGAAGGGTTTGGAAATAGAACACGTTTACAAGAACACCTTCCAAGCGAGGGGCTCCAAAATAGCATTCTCCTTTATAACCTGATTGAAATAATCAGCACACAGTCAAGCACAGTTTGTTAGTTGCACTCAAAGCAAAACATGCTTCCAGCTGTGAGAGATAATTACTATTTATTGACTGGCTTTTGAGGACTTTTATGCTATATTTAGTTTTAGGGCTGTTTGGGGTTTTTATTTGCATCAGAGGCATTGATGAAAAAGGCTGCTGCTTAGAGCAGTCAGCTGCCTTCTCATGATTAACCTCTTATTTCACTTCAGAATGTGTTTCACCTGCAAATGTGCTGGGAAATCAAAATTAATCCTGGGCAAATTCCCACAAGTGCCCCGTTGAACCAGTAACTGCATTCATCAGCATTCCCCACTGATAGCCCTTTGTTCTTGTGTAGTGCTGGGGGTTTTATTTGAGTATCTTCCCAACACCAGAAAGGACAGCTAATTATAACCATCTTGCTACAGAGGGGTGATTTTAGAAGGGGCTGTAGCAGCTGGAACCACTGTTCTACCCAGTTAAGTGTTCCTGCTGCCTTCAGTGACCTGCACAGTTGCTCCAGAGGCAGAATCAGAAACCAAAAAATAAGCACAGAAGAGTTTTAACCCCTTCATCTCCAACAGTTGCAGCAGGTCTACATTCTTAAACCAGGAATTTCTAAATCTCTTCCAGGACAATTTTCTTGAATGCAATTTCTCTGTTAGCCTTTATCTTAATTTCATTTGGAGGTGGCTTCAAATGGGACTCAAGGTCTGTGAAGGCACTGAGGGAAACTGCCTGTCCGTGCTCTGCTTTCTTCCCCTTTGGTGTGATGTGAGGACAGTGCAACCTGAACTATGCAAAAAATGCAGTGGCAAACAGGAAAGGTCAGCCTACAGCTCTGGTGCCACAGCTTTGGCAGCTGCAGACACACAGAAGGGAAAAAGGCACAAAGAAGGAACAGTGGATCAAAATAATTGAAAGTTTTTGCTAAGATATTCTTTCCTAAATCAAGATGTTTCTCTTTGGAACTGGGCCTGAAGTTTAAGTCACCTAAAACTGAAGCATTTCATTTTGAAGCAAACAATGTCGCAACTGAAGCGCTGAAAACAAAATTTTTTTTTCCCCTTATTTTGTTTTGTTTTCACTGAATGGCTCCAAAGATGTCTTCAGACAAATCCAAAAGAGTTCTCATCTCCCCCAGCCTGTTTAATATATTCATTAGGGTCCCAAATGGTCTCATCACAACATGCCAATTGCAAAACTCATCCCCTGTCTTCACAGGGAAGTCGTGGAGCACACATGACTAATCTCAAAATTAAAATAGCCAGAAAGAAGCAGCAAGATCAAACAATAATAATGTTAACTGTTTGTAAAAGGTGCAGGAGCACTGAGTACCAAAGAGGATTGAAAAGCCCATGACTTTAAAGATTATTGGAATCTACAGGAAAAGTCAGTTTAACACGTCCTCCTTGTGAATTTGGGGTGTGGATTCAGAAAATGTATTGTAAAAATACATCTTTAGAGAAATATTGCTATCAGCAGGGTAACCTCACGACAGTCCACCACATGTTCTACATTCCCATTTTTCTGTATACAGCCAAGAAAACACAGACAAATGATAAAGAGTCAATTTAGGACTACTATGAGAAGACTGGAGTCATTATACAGGAGTATTTTTCTGCACTGAATGCAAAGATGGGAGCAATAAAGAGAAGAAAGAGTTACAAAACAGCATTCTTACTTTTAAAAGTGACCAAAAAATCATTTTGCAGAAGATTTAAGCATCAGACAAGGGACCTGAACCCCCCCCTTACCATTAAGACTGAGATCCAGACTGTCCTCTGGTTACTGTAGCCAGAGAGGTTTATTATAAACCAAAATCTCAATTGTAATTTCCCATCTGAGAGTCCAGGCAGCACGCCTGTCTACAAACCAGGTACTGCTTTGAAAAGGATTAAATTCTGTCTCCTCTTGAATTTAATGGAAGCCTTCTTTTAACTTCAGTGGGAGAAGGACAAGACCAATGATGAAAATCAAACCCTGAAGCAGAGTGAGATCAAAAGATTCTTAACACTTTGAAAATTCACAGAATTCACAGAATGACTAGGTTGGAAGAGATCTTCAGTATCATCAAGTCCAACCCAAAATTAACATACTCTTTTAAAAAAATTTAAATTAACATATTATTAAAATTGCTGGAGAGTTCAAAATCGGATTCAGGTTGATTTGCAGGGTAAGGGTAGTGGTTGAGTAAGGCACCCTAATGTTTGTAATTAAGGAGAATAAACACAAAATTTTAAGGCAGAACCTGCCATTTAAATAACCACCTTGTGTGAATTTAACCATGCTTGCAGAAGACACTGTGAATGATGAATAAGATGAAACACAGAGTGAGTAAGATGAAACCTGAGGTCACTGGGAAGTTAGGACTGCTCTAGCAGAGATCTCATCGAGGCAGGACGAAAACAAGCTACCTCAAAAGTCTGTTTTGCTCAGACACAGCTTGCCTCAGGAAACAATTTACTGGGCAGAAAGTTCCTGCAGCTAACACGGCCTGCAGTGCTCAAAAACCAACTCTGACACACTTCCCTCAACCAGGGGCTCCCAGAGGAGCTTTCCTGCCATCACATCTTGCCATCTGCCTCGCAGACCCACGAGCAACGCATGATCCTCATCAGCCAAAAGCTCCCAGCTTGATGGGCGCCAGATGTTCTTGGGTCTCACGAGACCCCAGCCATGCAGGCACAGCTGCAGGGCTCCAATCAGGCAGGAACAGGTCTCATCTTCAACACCCATTGACCAGCTGGTATGTTCAGACACCTCAGAACTTTCAGCTGGCTGCTTAAACTTGCTTTGGGGTCAAGAAGAAGCTGGTGTTCATGTCATACTGTCCCTCCTTAAAGTGTCTGACCTTTAGGATGCATGCCATGACCCCAAACACACCCCTTTGGCTCAGACCTACCTTTTTCTCCATTAAAACAACACAGGTGTGCATCAGCTCCTCCCAGTTCAACTCAGAGCTAGATTGCCTTGTTAAAGTTTTATCTCAGCATGGTCTCACTGTGGATGATACAAACATGTGGGCTTCATCCTCAGAGCACACAGGTGGGGCTGGGGCATGGCTGTGTGCTCCAGCAGACAGCAGTTCTGTCAGCCACCACTGTTCTTGCAGAGCTCTGGGCTCCAGGCACTCCCATCAGCTCCCTGGATCAGAGATTTTGATGTGCCTCATCACTGCTGCTGCACTCCTGGGTGCCAGCTGTGGCACTGAATTATTTCTGCTGAGTTAGGATGACCTGGAGAGTGCAACTTTCCCCTGAGCAGGGCGGTCCTTGACACTGCTTATTCAAATTAATTAATTTCAAGATGAAATTGCCATAGCCCACTTCTGTTTGAAGAGGTCCCTGAACTCCACCAGAAACCTTCACAACTGCAGACCTCAGCCTTTCAGGTGAGGCAAGCTGCCATGAGTGTGTAAAGCATAAACTGATCTCCCTCCACAAGTCATCTTAACCAAAATAATTTTGTTGAAGCATTGCCTTTTTAAAAATGCTTACTATGTTACTTCAGCTGCATGGAGAGTGTGAGAACCTAGGGAGAAATGACTGCCCAATCAATTCCCTATCACAAATAACTTGTTTTAAGAGTATGCCAACTGCCTAAGCCCCCAGGAGCAGCTCTGGAAATGTATCATGGGAGCAGTATGGGCACATATTCTCCAATAACAGTGATGCCAAGAGCCACAACTTGCTGCTAAGAGGTCTCTAATTATTCTAACTTCACGTGTTCTGCTCGATTTTTACACTGTGGAGAAACAGAGCATGAGCTCCCTAAGATGCCAGAAAACCTTGCTTAGATTTCAGAGCACCTGAGGACAGAGAGGGAAGGAAAAATGCTCTCCTGCACCAGCCTGATCAGCTGGGTTCAGCTGCCTGCAGAGCTCAGGCTGCCCTGCCATCCCCTCCTGACATTCAAGCTTTGACCAAACCCATCACAACTCCTGGCACATGGAACACACCAGAGGTATCTGCAAACCAAACCCTCTGCCAGCAGGTACAATCCTTGATTTTCCTCTCTGGAACACATTTTCAAAACTCTTTTAGTATACTTTATTCCTTTATCAAGTGACTTGAACCTAGAAACCAGATCGATTTTGAAAAATTAACCATACCTTATTTCATCCCACCTCTCCTAGGCATTTATTCTGTTGCTTTCACTGTTCTAGTGCTATTTATATTGGGAAAAGTACAATGAAAGGCATAAAAACAGAGCTGCAAAGCCTGTTAAACCCACTTCCTACAGGTGTAAATGCCTGGGTGAAATTTAAGGAACTCAAGAATTAGGATTGGAGTGTTCAAGTCCTGAATGAAACAGGAACCAGAGCTGGCTGGGGGTTGGCTGCAGGATGAACTCTTCAAAACAGACAGCAACCTCAGCTGCAGGCAGGTGCAGCTTCAAAACCTCTGCATTTTCATCAAAACAGAAAATTCCATTGCCTGGCTCCAACAGGAAAAAAGAAACCCAAGCCCCTTGCTCTGTTACAAACGTGGAGATATCAAATTTCCAAGGGATGAGTACACAGGAAATAACTTTTCTTGTAGAAACCCCATGACTGAGGAGATTTGTTACCTATTGCAAGCCACATTTCAGCCAT